AATAACTATAAATGAAAGGGAGACGAAAATATTGAATTTAATGACACAGTTTTCTATTTCAACTTCAAGTATTCTCTAGTGAAAGTATTATCTGGAGTTAATACTGTCGCTGAAAGTATGATACACTTTACTTCATTAAATTTTATCATATGATTAATGGTATTACCTCAGAAGCTTTTGTTGGATTAGTTCGAGTACAATCAATTCTGTCTATACTTGACCTCATTCAACGAGAGATGAAACAAAGTGCACTGTTTTTCAATTTAAAATTTCTGTCAAGTGAACTATAAACCAAAAATAATGAAACAAGCCCATTCAACATTGTTCTTGGTCTGTTAATAATTTTCTGTTTCTGAACCCAGTGATGTAAGTATGCTGTCTGTTCAAAAAACATGGTGAATTTTCATTTTTCTCCCCTTCAAAGTAGTCCCCGTCAGGTGTAATACACATGTGACAGCGTTTTTTCCAATTCTCGAAGCAGTTCTGATATGTGCTTTTTGGTATGTGCTTGAACCCTCTCAGCAATTTGGTTTTTATCTCAATTTAATTTTTATATCCTCAATCATGGCAAATTGCCTTCCTTTCATGGGTCTCTTCAATCTTTGGAACAGGAAAAAGTCGTAGATGGCCAAATCTGGTGAGTACGGTGGCTGAGGCATGAAAATGATGATTTTTTAGCCAAAAAATTACGAACTAGCAATGACGAGTGAGCAGTTGCATTATCGTAATGCAAAAACCATGAATTGGTTTTACACAATACATTTTCTGACTCAGAGTACAACCACCGTATGCCACTATCAACAGTTCAAGTGTTTTTGAGAACTTTATTTCATTTTTCAAACAAAATTTGATGCAAGTTTTTTGTTTCACCGCAAAACACGCTGAACGCGCAAAACACTTCTTAAACTTTTCCTTTCACCAACAAAGTGAATATGCTAAACAGCTGAAACTGTGAACATATATCCGAGAGAGTGTACCAACAAACAAAGTATCTAATCGAATGTTAGTAGCCCACGAAATTTGAACGATTACCTTATTTTTTCAATAGTCCAGATATACATGCTCCCGCGTGAGTATGACATTATAAGTTTGAATGATAATACAACTCTTCTAATGTCAGCGACACTTGACATAGATAACTGAGTATTTATTAGTGTAGAAAGTCAGCTTGTTTTAAAGGGAATGATTTTTTAAACTCTTAACATAAAAGTACTATGAAAAATGTCAAAAACACTATGGAGTTTCTTTTTCTGTCATAGAAAAAGTGAAAGTTTTAAAAGCTTTGTCTTTAGAATCTAGTTGTCAAAAATAACAAAAACAACTTTTTTATCTGAATTCTAGTGCAGCCATGGATACTGCCCAATGTATACTACAATCAATGAAATGAAAATTTTTTGATTTCAACATAAATTTCAAATATTTTCATGTCAATTCATATATTTCATTTCAGTTACCTCATTAATGTTCTTCTTAATAATGAAAATATAATTAATTTCGTTCATTGTGTTAACACCACATTATAAATTCATATTCTCAATTTCAACATTATCTGTTTTTGGGAACGATGTTATTTATACTTGTTAAATATAATCAAATGAACAATACATACCTTTAAGACTCTTGAAGTGGTCCACAAAAGCTTCTCATAATCATAGGATCTCATAATCCTTACCAATTCGATGGGTCCTTGCGAAGCCAAAATAATGAGCTTACTTTCTTGATTTCCGTAGGCCAGAATTTGTAAGCAGTCTGTAACGATTGTTAAGAACTTTACATTGTTCCTTTGCAGTAATGCCACCATTTTTTGTAACCCTCCTGCCAGTCTCACTGCCATCTTGGAACCATCTTGATGCAACAACAGATTATGCAGAGTGGTGATAGCATAAAAAAGCACGCTTTCCACTGGAGAACTCAGCAACTTAACTAAAGCTGGAATGCCTCCACTCTTGAAGATGGCCAAAAGACCTTGGCGATGGTGTGATAATTTGTGCAGTGTTCCAACTGCTCCTTTGGTTGTTTCCAGATCATTTGAATTAGAAATAGCTCGAACCAGAGCAGCAACCATCTGGGGACTATTCATAATGGCATGGCGAGAAGCTTCTTTCTTTGACAGCTGATGTACCATCATAGCTGCCTGTGAAACAATGACCTGATCCTCGTCATTGAGAAGCTTGATCAATTCAGGAATGGCCCTTGTGGCTAAATCTGCATCATCTTGATAATTTATCAAGTTCACCACGGCATGTTTGAGCATCTGGCTGGGCTCTGCAAGTCGCTGTACAGCAGTCTGATGACCAGGGTCGAACTGAGTTGATGGTATCTCAATTCCTAAATAAATATTAATTTACTACTACGAATTTCAATAATGATGTTGAAGACTTTTACGAATATTGTAAAGTATTTCATTTACAATTGCTCAAATTGAAGATATATTGTACGGTAAATATTTATTATACATCTGAGATGTTATTGCTATTCTTTACTTGCCATTTTATTCTTTGAACATTTGAAAAAAAAAGTCTAGTACTTATGATGGTTGAAAACAATAGGCATTCTGTGAATCAGGCAGAATTGTCTACTCCAAAAATTCAATAAACGAACTTCCAATTTATAATCAAATTTCTCATTTCAAAATGTGAACAATAGGAAATTTATAAATGATGATGTCGGTCGGTAGCCAGGCGGTTCGACGTGGGTGCTTTGTTCACTCACTCGAATTGACTGCCGTGTTGGTCGGTGGTTCAAGCCCTAGTCTGAAACACACACACATACATAAGTAAAAGTAATAAATCGAAAGAAATTTAAAGTAAGTCAAAACTAAAAATACCTCAACCAACACTACTTGTTATTTCATCAATTCATGTAATAGACAAAATTACTGAAAGAGACCAATTCAACTTAATGTTGACAAACAATACACAAATAGATGAAACTCGAGAAACATATTTCTAGCAAAAAAAAATGGGTTGAAATTCAATTTTTGAAACACAACAAAAAACTGAACAAAAATTGAGAAAGCCCCATCCAGAAATACATTCCTTAATAAACAACCTAATAAAAAAAAACAAAAATGATGTTCTTACTCAACTGACCTTCCTCCAGAGTTTCTGGAAACATGGCTGCTCTCACTCTTTGTGATCTTGTTTGATTAAGCTGATTGTTCATTTCGTCAACTTGGTCTTGGGTAAAACCCTGGTATCCTTGATCCATGAAGAGATCCATATCCTCTTCCTCCTTACCTGTCAGTGAGGGAACTGCAGTAGCACCTGCAGAATGGATTCCAGAGTCATCCATATATGAATTTTGTTGCCACATCAGGGTTTGTTCCTTTGACGAAGGCATTGGTAAGTCTCCAGAGCCCTGGTAGACTGAAAAAGATAAAATGTACACAACCCTATAGACCTTGACATATATTATAGATCTATTGGTATATGTAAAATCAAACTTCAACACTTTTCCATCAAATAATTTCACTCAAATATTTTACTCTGATTTTTAATGGTTTGATGTTCCCAACAAACTTACGTGCATTTTATGAAAAAGAACACGATACATAGAAAACTGATCATAGTTGTTATATTATCTATTATAGAAAAATGATTAAAAATAGTATCACTCTCTGCTAGAAATCCCCCCAAATAAACGAAAATAATCATTACTTACTTGGCCTGTTACCCTGGATGTAACTCATTTTTGGTGGAAGTCACACCTAGAAGAAAATTGCACATATTACCAAGAAATATTACTCACTAAAATTAGCATACACATTTCACCAAGAATCACATTATTTCAAAAAGCTCTATGAGTACTCAATCAGCGAAAATTTGCAGATGATTGAATAAAATAAGGAACAAGTGTTTATTGATACCATTTCCTACATTTGAAATAATGCACCCGCACCCACACAAAGAGAGATTAGAAATCCTCCATGTTGTATATAATTCAAATTTGCAACTTGGGAAGGTTCAACGAATTAACGCCACAAAAACGAATACTTGTACAGCATAAAACAATTTAATGAAAATAATTGGATGCAAAATTACCTTCGTTTTTTTTATTAGTAGCCACCAATTATTTTTTTATATCACCGCACCCTTGAACACAGCAAACAAGAAAAAATTACAAACAGCGTTGCCATGTTGCCATAAGGGTCATTATTTTCGACAGACATCTCGTGACAGTTGGAACATGGCTCCCATCTTTTGGAAGTTGAAAGGGGAAAATATTAATCTCACTTTTTTTAATGTAATTTGGATATCATAATTTTGAATTCAAAATCAAGGCATCAATTTACCTGACCAAACCTAACCTTAATAAGCTTATTTGCCTTATTGTAAACACAAAATGAGGTGCATGAAGCAGATTCATGAATAATATCACCAAGGTTCTATATGAGAACACAGGCACAATCGCCACAGTATTCAGTAACCAAATTGTTGATGGAATACTGTGACACAGTTATTAGTTGTCGAAACTTCCCCCTCCAAATTATGAACGGATTGAATCGTTACTTGATGAAAATTAATAACAATATTCATGAAAATAATTAAACAATTTTAATTAAACCCCTCTCCAAAACACGGAAACAGTGTTGCCGACCCATTTGATAAAGTAATTTTACGCGAGGGTGATACAGGAATAAAATAAGACATATTAATATCATTAAGAAGCATGTTACAGTTTTATATCTGCCTATACACATACGTACATATATATGAATACAATACTGATTTATCAACTAGAAACACCTGAAGAGAGTAAATAAAAAAACAAATTAAAGGAAACATTAATAATTGAAAAACGATAAAATCAACGGTTTTTTTAAAATTTTGTATCATATAATGGTAGTAATAAATGAGACATATCTTGGAAAGAAATTATAAACGATAAAATTATGTAGATGTACGAATTAAGCAGTATTGATGATAACTAGTTTCAACGATTAGAGTAGTCTAGTGTCACTCAACATGCTTTATATCATGGTCACAAAATAAATAAAGAAATTATTGAGATCGGTTCCTGACCAAATGCTTTTAGATGACTTTGATAATTGAAAATCGAAAAATGTGGAATGAGATCAATGAATAACGATAAAGGTCCCATTCCAAAGAGCCAGTTATTTACCCTCTCACGTAATAATCACAAATGCAAGCCAGGAATATATTAGATATTATAACAAGTAGTCATTAACATATGAATTAGGATACAATAATAAAATTGAACACAGTAACTTATACTAGGAACTAATTCATTGACAATCATTGAAGATGGATTTATGCGGTTTTCCCAATCACGCGCGTTTCACCAACCAAGTTGGCATCTTCAGGAGGTATACCCACTGAGTTGCCTTCTTCATCTCCTGAAGACACCAACTTGATTGATGAAACCCGCGTCGGAGTGAACTGCAATTCTGTTGATTGAGAACATTGCTTGTTTTAGATTTATTTTGAATGTTGAAAATACCAGTTAGAGTGGATAATAATAATAATAATTTCTCCTAAACCAGCCTTCAACAAGGTCAGTGTGAACTTTGTCTGGACTATTGCAGTTCTATCAAACGAATAGTTGAGTCAATGTTTTCAGTTTTCACTTGAATAATTTTCTGCTTCTTACGGTAGAAGCAACGTGCAGCTATTTTCAAGGTCATAGATGGTAATAAAACCAATAACCTCTACAAAAAACTACATCGAAATATGTAGATCTTGCACAGAAGTTTCTTTCAGATACAAACTGGAACAAAAATCCTTTCAAAACAACTACAACAACATTGAATTACATACTTTTATAAAGGGTTTTTGTTTTAATTATTTTATTTCTTCCTTTCCCCGGAGGTTCCCCACATTTTTGGTTCAATGGTGGAGAAGTAGAAATTCAAAAGGTTTTTTGTCCAAAAATTGAGAAAGTTGTTACAGTGTACACTTTGATTTTATTCAGTGTCCTTTCGCAGATTTTGAATTAAATCTACTGTTAATTTCCACTTCCAGAAGTACGTGCTAGTAGGATGCCAATGCTGGTTCAAAGTCTCCCCCAGTTGACCTTGCATAAAGTCAAACGACCTTCAAACATGTGCGCTTCATATGACCTTGGATTTGGAGTTCGACCTTGGCGGTTGACTCTGTCCTTTATTATACATGACGTTGAGCTTATGCTCCTTCATATGTACTTGCATGTTTACCTTGAATGGAGCCTTGCAAGTTTGTCTGAGGTTAAAATGGTGGGGTATTTTTTAAAAAAAGTGTGTGCGTTTCAACCATTTGAAATTATCCTTATAATCGCGATGTGAATAATTATATACAATATTAGCTGATCCGGCAAACGTTGTTCTGTCATTTGCATTATTTCTATAACGGATCAAATTTGATGCCAAATGAAAAAGAATCACTAAAAAATATGTTCTGGATATGGACACCCCAATCACCTAGAAGTAAAAAATATACTTTACATACCTACCAAATATGCACAAACAATCTATGAAACTCGGTTGAAGCATTTCGTCAATCATCGTGACTAGAGTTTTTTTATATATTAGAAGATGTACACTAGCAGTGAATGCGGAAAAAAAATGTCTCGGAGTGACAACCTGCGTTCTCATCAGCGGAATTCCTATATGCCATCGAATAATGAAGGACCATCGAAGAGGCGGAGGTTGAATCCCTCAACCTCACATACACACATTGTATTTGTAACCTGAACTCCAAATTGTCCAATTTCATTACCATAATTCTACTTTTTTAGGAAAGAAAGTTTTTGGCTTTGTACTACTCCATCTTTATACAAAAAGAGATGTGGGAATCTTCCAAAGAAAGGAAGGAAGTAATCAATTTGAAAATAAGTAACTCTATACATGCACTCTGTGGCAAAAGGATAACTCCAATGCCAATCCTCCCACACACACACACAATTTTTTATATATAAAGTTAGAAAAAAATGGGTGGCAGCATTGCTTTGTGCAAGACCGCTGCGCCCCCCGACGAAGCTCCTGTTAACCAACAGGAGGAGCATTGGTCATATGCGCCTGAAGATAGGAAGCAACGACCATCTAAAATAGAGAGAGAGAGAAAATGTTTTTGGAATTAGGAGATCCATCGATAGTTTCAAATTTATAGCTGCATTTCTTCAAGAGTAGGGAGTAATTTGGATGAACAGTATTTGTTTTTCCGTACAGCTTTTTTGATTCTTCAGATGAATTGAATTTTCAAGTACCTATACCATCGTTTGTGACATTTTATGTTAAACCAAATAAGAAGCAGCACGGTAAAGTGAAACAGCTATGGACTGTGTTCAAATATCGTAAATAGGTGCATATTCTGACGTATACTTGAAATCTGATTTTATTGGTAGAATTCATGAATACGGAAAGTTACTGATGAAGATCTTTAAAGATTTACGTTAGGAAGTAACATTTCAAGGTATCGGTTTTCCATTTATCACACTCAGTAGAATCTCTACTGATCTAGATTTATTTATTTTCAGTTTTAGAAATAAAAAATTCTTCACGAACAAGCATAGTTATTGGTCCACATGAAACAGGTATGGGATTCCTTGGCTATTCTAACAACGTCTCCACGAGCTCAAAAGAATATACTGCATCTGCTAAATCTTTCGTTTATTGTTTTTGATGTAAATGATTATGTTGTTAACTTATACCAATTATTGTTCTCGTCAATGTTTCACCTTCAATAAGAACCATGGTTCACTTGGAGTTTTTTCTTGATATTAAGTAATAGTATCTACTATTTGATTTTCAAGAAAAGGTGGGACAAATGCAACTGAATCTTGATATATATTTATTCTTCTCCAAAGAAAATATGTATAACATAAATGATAAATGAAAAATAAGGTTTGAGTGAAAATGATACCTTGAATACTTTGTAACCTAGTGTCATTAATTTGTTGGATAGAGGTCCAACTCAATCATATATGTATATTGTAGATAAATATAATGGTTCCAGTTTAGTTTCATCATTAATAGTAGTTTTTTTAGAATCTTCTCTGTTTTTCAATACTCGATGTGCTCGGTGTTTTTCAGATTCGAAATTGAAAATTTCAAATTCAAAACGATAAAAGTGATGCTGGAGGAAGCGTCACTACAGAATGGCCAGACAAAGGTGTTGGTAGACAAGCAAGTCCTCGTACCCATGTTTCTGAAATTAGAAAAGTTTTTGTATTATGTGGTAAATGAAGTATGTGTGAGTCATTTGTCTGTTAATGTAGGCTTATCATATCAAGTAACGATATCAGGAGATCAGACATAGATTCAGAACGCGAATTAGCGTGAAGTTCAAACGATAATACAATTGAAGGATAATGTCAGGTTGTAATATTTAATTATTAAAGTTGTTAAATTTGAACAAGTGTGTAGCACTCATTAATCAATCATCTTTATATATTCAGAGAAACATTTTGAGTTTGAATTTTCCTGTTATACAGAGCTGATGTTTTTGGGATAGTTGAAATGAAGTTATGTCAATTGCACTAATTATAAGGATTGAAGAATCATTAACAATTGATGACGTTCAAGAAATCAATAAAAAATAATAAGGAATACTATATAGGTAGATTAAAAGAATACCTACATGTATGATCAAAACATCAAGTGTTTAGGAAGTTACAGCGATTTTACTTCTATTACGTTCTGGAATATAGTCTAAGACTTTTGAGAATTCACTTTTTCTGAAAACACTTTTCTTTCCCTTACCAGAATCAAAATACTGTATCTCAACTCTCGTTTGACTGAGTAGGAAGATGTAAAACTAATTCTAAAGGTTGGAAAATCAAATTTGTGAAGTTGAGATATAATGAGATTTGAGTATATTTTGACTTATCTTCATTATTGTGTTCGCATATCATAAACTATCGAACATCTGAAGAATTTTTTAGAAACGAATGAACTATGAGGTGAAGTAGTCGAAAAGTAGATTCAGCTCACACAAATTTGTATGAGACAAGATTGCTTCCAGTTCGCTGGTTTCACGAGCATTATAAGGGCAATTGAAAACCCGTTGTCTGCTTTCATGACGAATTTGTTCATGAGACAATTGAAATGGAAGGAAAACAAGAGTTAGATTACTTTCCACGAACATGGACCCAGTATGTGGATGCCATCTATGACACGATTAGCAGTGATGTAAAACGACAACAAATCCTCAAATAAAAAGTTCACGTATGTGTTTTCGTGAATTCTAGATTTCTGAGGCAGACGAAAACTCAATTCAACAAAACAACAACATAAATTCAATATGAAAGGCTTTTAAAACTGCCCGAACACTTCAACACATGTTGGGCAATCCAAAAGAGAAGATGACGGGAAAAAATCGGGAATTTACGAAATAAGCTGTGAGAATTGCGATAAAAAGTATATTGGTAAAACTAAACGGACTAAACAGCTCGCTACGAGGAACATGCTTCAAATATTCGGTTTCATAGACTAGAGGAGTCCTGTATTGCTCAACATTTCATAGAGAACGGCCACAGATTAAATGGGGAATGTTTAAAATTATTGAAGCCGGTACTTGTTTCAAAAGTTTAGAAATTGAAAAATTTGGAATGATATCTATGAACGGTAATAAAGGTCCCATTCCTAAAATCTATTTGTTCGCACTCTCATGTAATTACAGGAAGGAAATAGGTGGAGATCAGATATCAGTCTAGTAGCAAATATGATTAGGAACATCAACAACATACCCGGAAACTATTTGATGACTCCCATTATGTGGAGTAATCATGCGTCTAAATGCATATAAAAACATTGATAAACTCGTCAGAATTATACTACTGGAGTTTTTTACCAACACCAAACCGTTATTTTAACACCTCGACACGTGTTTTGATAACCAAGTGATCATTTTCAAGAGGAAAATGTTTGATCTTCCTCTTGAAGATGATCACTTGGTGATCGAAACACTTGTCGAGGTGTTAAAATGACGGTTTAGTGTTGGGAAAAACTCCAGTAATATTCATTACTACACCAAAGGTTCCAAACAGTGCATCACAAGTACGTAATCGTCAGAATTAGTGTCAATCTCCTGATGCTGCTAACTTGGTTAGCGAAACGCGCGTCGAGGGACAGTATTTTTGTTCTGGCGAGGGAGTAGTGTTCTCATTAGATTCAGTTGAACCAATTTCACAAAAACTGTATTGAAAAATATTTCAAACTAGAAAAATCTGTATTGAAATTTACATTTTGAAGCATAAACAAATGTAAAAAAAATGAATTGCTGAATCGAAATTTTAAATAGCTTCCATATAAGTATAACTGTACCACTTGTAGAGGTTGATCCGACCGGTAGGACCTATCAAGAGGATTGAAACATCTTATGCACAAAATAGTTTCTAAAAAATAAAACTTCTCACCTCTTTGACTGCAGAAACACTCGGTATTGCTAAGCGCTCTTCCATATATTGTCGTCACTCCCCCGACGATCAGAATCTGAGTACCGAGACTCGAAACGGCGTGCCCGTGTCTAGGAATACTGAGCTCAGTGACAGTTTTCCATTCCAGTTTCTTGTCGTTCCAATAATCTATATTGCCGATGCTCGTCGTGCACGTGTTATTTTCCGTTATTTTTCCCGCTCCGCCGATGATGTATAACTTGTCGTACATGGCGAACATACACGAAAAACATCTCGGAAAACGCAAAGGGAAATTCATCTCTGTCCATCTGAAATATATATATAATTTATGTGAAACGTCATTAAATAGTTTGTTGTTTGATGTTTCCGGGATTACAAGCCTAGTGGTTTTCTGATTTTTGAACCTGGCGTTTGGTATGCAAGATGCCCCAGATATAATCAAAGGCGATGCGCCAATCAGGCGCGCCCCACAGGGGCTAAAGGGGATGTAGCCCCCCTCAAGAAAAATTTACATTCTGTTTTTAAACATCACATACTGAATATTGGTTTGCGGGAGTTACATTTCACTACAACTACGAAATAAATAGCTGCATTACTGCATTCCTATTCCTAAGCAATGCACTAAAAAATAAATAAAACGTATTTCATATATTCCAAACTCCGCAAAGGAATATTTCTCGCGCGCGCTTGCTTTGTTTGTTTGTGGTGGCGAGTGGAGAAAACTGGTTTTTCCCTTCCAGTCTTTGGCTCATGTTCTTTGCTCGCGTTAGCGTAAAGTAATTTGTATGAGTTTTTATTAGCGACAGAGGTTGCAAGGGCAAGTGTTTAGTGTCAACTCTAATGTTTCACTATGAAACGGCTTTTAACGGACTATTTTGGCAAAAATGAGAGTGTTACCAGCGGCGCAAAGTTAAGTGTATATGTTATATTTATATCCACTTGACACAAACCCTCATATTAATGACGATTAATAATTTTTTTAGAAGAAATTGGCTAGTCCTGCTCTTGATGAACCTGGTACCTCAGCCTCAAGCGCCAGCCGTACACTAGACAATGTCAACATAGACTGCAGCAGTAAAATGAACATTTCTTTTTACAAAAATAAGCGGCTATCAGGCACAGAGAAATTACATGTTTTGGAAAACTTGTGGGCTCCATCTTCCAATTACAAGTTTCCAGCGACGAGTCATGGAAAGCAGGAGAGGAAGTTTTTGTATTCCTGGTTGCAAAAGTATAAGTAGTTGTCATACTCTCAGATAGAAAACCGGGCTTACTGCACTTATTGCATACTCTTTGCTCCAACTGAAGTGGGTATGAGATCATCCCAGAAAACAGGCCAGCTTGTCCAAGAAGGATTCAAAAATTGGAAAAAGTTATAGAAAAATTTGAGTCACATTCTCAATTACAATACCACAAACATGCTATGATCGTTCTCAACAATTTGAAAACAGCAATGGAAGGGAAGATGAATCCCATAGACAGATCTTTAGATGCAGGCAAAGCCAATCAGGCGAAAGAAAATGTGGAGAGGTTAAAACCCATAATAGAAACGGTAATTTTTTGCGGACGACAGGGAATAGCTCTTCAAGGCCACAGAGACTATAGAAACTTCAACTAAGATGCAATGCCAGATGGTAATGAGGGGAATTTCAGAGCCTTATTGCGGATGCGTATTGAAGCAGGTGATGAAAAATTAAGAGACCATTTCAAGTCATTTGGTAAAAATGCCACTTATATAAGCTGGAACATCCAGAACCAATAATTGATGCTTGTGACAAAGTAATGAAAAGTCACATGGACAAAAATGTTAAAGATGCTACTTTTTTTATTGTGTTAGCTGATGAGACTACAGATGTGTCGACACAAGAACAGGTTCCATTGCCTGTGAGGTATGTCTCTTATAACACATAGGATGGTTATGAGATTACTGAAAAGTTTTTGCAGTTTGTGCCTCTAGAGTCAACTACTGGCGAGGTACTTGGAGGAACACCGTTGAAAGGGCTTGAAGAGTGCAATCTTGAAATAAAAGATCTGAGAGGACATGGATATGATGGCACATCAGCCATGAGCGGAAAGGTCATAGGTGCTCAGGCTGTTGTGCAGAAACGTTGCCCGAAGGCAATATATGTACACTGCGCGTCACACAGGCTTAACTTAGCCATTACAAATGCTGCAGAGATCAGATCTATCAGAAATATTTTGGCACTACTGAAAGAGTATGTTTTTTTTAAACACCAAAGAGGCAAAATGTTCTCCAGGGAGAAATTGAAACCCTAGCACCAAAAACTAAGAAACAAAAACTCAAAGAGCTATTCCCAACCAGATGGGTTCAAAGGCATGATGCTGTCCTCGTCATGAAGGAGCTGTACAACCCTATCATTTCATCCTTAGAAGAAATCAAGTGTTGGGATGATAAGGACACATCTACAGGGGCCGATGTCCTCTTGCCAGCTATATGTCAGTCAGAGTATATTTTAGCTCTAGTATCAGCTGAAAAGCTACTCAGCTACACTTTGATATTGTGTCAAAAGCTACAGTCAAGTGATGCGGATCTCTGGGCTGCTTTGAACTATGCTGACTATGTACTGAGTCTGAAGTCAATAAGAGAAAAAGTTGATGAAGAGTTTTCAGTCTTGTTTCAAGAGGCACAAAAAATGGCCGAATTGAATGAAACTACAATTAGTGTTCCAAGGATTGTTGAGGGGCAGAGACACAGAAGTGGTGTCTCAGCCGAAAGCATAGAACAATTTTATAGAATTAACGTATTTATCCCCTGGATTGAAAGTTTTATTTCCTGCATCGAAGAACGTCTCTTAAAGCACAAGGACATTTTGAAAGGATTTCACTGCTTGCTTATCCAGAGAATAGTGAAGAAATTAAAGAGATGAAAGAGACGTTTTTGGAGTTGATTGAGGTTTATGGAGAAGATTTGGAAAATAAAAAATTAAACGTATTGATGGCAGAAATGGAAGTTTGGCAAGATTTTCTCCAACCAAACAAGGCACACCACGTCAATGAAATTGATTTTCTGAATATTTGTGATGATACAATCTTACCAAACATCAATATCCTACTTAAGATTTTCTTCACTATACCTGTATTGACCAGCACAGCAGAGCGCTCTTTTTCCACTCTTCGGGGAATCAAGACTTACCTAAGAAATACGATGTCTGAGAGTAGACTAAATGGCTTAGACTATCTTAATATCCACAGGGAAATTCCAGTTAACACAAAGACCAAAAATACTCAATTTTTTTTGTAAGACAGCTGATATAAAAATATTCTGTCAAAATAAAACCTAAAATCTTATTTTATCTGCTGGGTTTTATCATTCATTCCTATAGTCCTTACTCAAAACTTGCTTTCAAAGAGCTAAAACAAACCTAAATAAATGCCTTAAAATACTGGTTATTCTAAGGAATTTTTAAAAAGTTTTCCGTTGGTTGGCCCAGGGTCCCCCGGTCAGCCCCCCCCATAATTATTATCCAAGTGCGCCAATGGTTACAGTTTTACTACAGTTGCAGACGAAACATCAGATCCAAAAACCGGAACATCACAGCTAATAAACCTGAAAACCTCTGAATAATATCCTCGAATTAACTTGAGTTCGACCTTTCAATAAATTCGAAAAAAATTGCACAAAGCTTTGCTTCAGGACTATGAACAAAAGTTCTACGAGTCCCCAAAAGTTACATTTTTTCAATCTATCTTGAGGTCGCCAAAAAGGGGTAGGTCAACTCTCATTGAGAACGGTCTGAAGTATTTAGGTAGGTACTTCCGATTAGTTCCAGATATATTCGAAAATAATAGCAATTAGCCAATTCCTTTCTAATTCTTTTTCTAACGTTATTTAAGTAAGTATTGAAAAACAAACAAAACTCTAGGATTTTGTATGAATATTCATCAAATGTTGATTTCAAACTGTATATGTCTGTAGTATCAAACTGTAGTACAGTTTGAGAATCCCAACACGTGTTTTGCTATACAGTAGCTTCCTCAAGCCTTTTTATATATGTATGGGGGAGTTTGAGGAAGCTTTTGTATCTCGAAACACGTGTTGCTGTTTTGAAAACTGTCCAGCGAAAATTTTACAATCGAGTGTGACTTGGATATGTTAAACTTGTTTATATTAGGTAAATATCTCGATTTCATTGCATTGAATTGTAACGGTGATTGGATATTAGGTGTTGGAAATAAAAAAAAGACTTACTGATTGGCTTTGATATCGTAGGTTTCGACTGAATCAAGGATATCAATGCTTTCATTATTTCCTGATGACAGTCCACCTGCAACCCATATATGATTTCTATACTTGATACAAGCAAAACCAGTTCTGGCTTTAATGAGGGGGGCCATATTTTCCCAGTTTCTGCTTTCAAATCTATACCTTTCCACAGTTCTGAGAGCTCTGAAAAATTGTGTATTACATTACTAGAAGGATCAATTCATGTGTCAAGCAAAGAAATCGATGATCAGCAGATAGATCATACAAACTATTTTCTGGTAACAGAAAAAGTCACCTCTCGGTACGATGAACCGACAAGTAGAAAAGGTTATTTCTTTTGTATAGAAACTTTGTCACTCTTTGTCACTCTATCAGCCTTTTATCGAATCAGAATCATTTCAGAAATGGCGATAATGACTTCTCGCATCAAGGAAAGTGTTTTCAAGATCGGCCGTTTCAAAACCAAGCTACGATATCGATTACCCAATGAGAAATCACATTCTGTCACTTTCTGCAGCTCGCATAACAAGCAGGCAATTAGTATATCTACTACGAGACAGCAATATTCCGATCTGCTATAGATTTCATCAGTGGTACTATGTCGGGTCATAGATGCAATAATTGAACGCTTGTGTCCTCAACAAGAACAAGCCTGAGCGATTGCGCCTATAGTTTCGAATCATGGGTGCAATGCTTTGAGTCTGGTGTCATCTTATTGCTTGATTGTAGTGAAACCATCCTCGCTCAGTTTTAATAGTCGTGATTTGAATTTTCTGTCAATCCCATATATTGATCCTTCAAAAGAGGAGTTGTTATCTCCCTCTCTTATTCAGGTGGTTCATGTTCAGTATTTGGTGTCATTGGAACAGATACTTAGGTATATTTCCTCAATGATACTCTGCAAAAAAAGGCCAGAGGCTATCCCAGTTAGATCCCAATCATGTAGTTTTTCTGATCTTTAATTCCGCATCTTAACATCTATCTGCCTCTGAAAATCAAGTTTTCTAATAATTTTATTCAGAGTTTGTCTCCAGAAGGAACTGTGCTATCGTGCACCACGAATCGGCTAAGAAGAAATTGAGTAGACTTCGAGGTAGACAATTATCTGGGTTTCGATCTGGAAATGTTCTAAGTTCCAATAGATATAAATACTCGTTGTGTGTGAAGAAATCATGAAAGTATGTTATACACTTACTGACACTGTTTTCCTTGTCCACCAATGGCATACAAGCCTAGACTGCAGCATGACATTCCAAAATTTTTCCTTGCCTCCCATAAAGATGTTTCTTTGAACCAAATTCTCCTTACTGGGTCAAAGCTCCATACCGAGGCAACTGCTTCCGATTTTTTTGAACTTTCATTTTGGCGAGGATCCCCACCTCCTGAAATATGACGAAAATATTTAGCAGATTTCTGGAAGTGAACTGAAAAAGGGGGCAGAACAAAATGTTTGAAAGACTAGTCATATAGAAAATGTTTGAAATTATAGACACTAATACATCATTGAGAGAACAGTTTTTTGGTTTCAGGAAACACGTAGAACGTATTGAAAGTATAACAGTTGAATTGTTTAGTAATATTTGTCGATATAAGTGGATCATTTGACTGACTCGATGTATTGGCTGGGACTGGAAGATTACCAATGTAACAATAATTCTCGAAGTAACTAATCAATTTATTTATTATTTCCAAGACAGAAATGTTATTTACGAATGCCAACATTAACAAAACATTAACAAAAGGGTGCCACAAGGATCCGCGATATCGCTACTACTCTGGAACTTAAAACTATGGAACCCAAGTTAGCAAAATTATATGGTAATGACATTGCAATTACAGCCAAAGACAACTCAAGGTCGAATCTAGAAAATAATGCTGAAGCTAGAATAGTGAAAATTAGTACTCTTAGTACTATCCTCATTCAAATTCTGGGACTGATGGTCAACAAATGACGAAAGAAGAGGTATGACAGTTGAGGTTATGATAGAAATATGTCCCTCTCGAAATGAAGATTGATTTGTTGATGGGTCTTTCTATTTCTATTTAATTTCGGTGCCGCACAATGTATATAAAACGGAGTTGAAATCTTATACTTTCTACACAGCATTTGTGAATTGAAGGAAAAAACTATTAACTACCAACAACAAACTCAGTTTCGAAGTTATCACAATGCAGGCTTTCTTTTCGAGAGTGTACTCTCGAGAGTGGAACTCTCATTTCTAGTATAACTCTTTGTTGAATTTGACAGTCGCTATTTTTCAACCAACAATAAACAAAGCATTAGGGGTCTTGGAGGAGCTGAAAAAATATGTAAGCAGATACATCTTCATAATTGCCAGATTCCACAAATATTATTTACTTCTACAGGGTCTCTAATGTTACTCAGATCGTCTTAATCTTTCGGGTTCGCCCAAGCTACAATGTCTTTATACCTAAAACAATTATATTGAGAGATATCCTGTGGTTGATGAGAAATTACCTCATTCAAGTTTTTGTTGAGAGAAAAAATAAATGAATGTGAATCAAAATAAGTCTCAAATGCTACAAAACAAAAACCTTCTTTTACTATGTATGCATAACATAACTAACATAATAAAATGAACTGTTGCTATAAAACTATTCGAAAAATCTATCTCAGTGAAAATCATCCCAAACAAGATTGTAGAAACAGAAATGTAAACGGAGAACTTCGAGAAGACTTTTAGTTGGATACAAGAAAGGGCAGCGATAGTAAGCATAGTGAACCAAAAAAATAATTGTGTTTTGGCGTAGCGATATTATTACTTATCATTGCGTTGGCGACTTCAAATTTGAAAATTTTAGCGATCTTACCAACAATGAATACTCTTCCTTTGTAGAACGCAGCACAATGATGATGTCTAGGTTCCGGTAGTTCTCCTACAAATTCCCATGTGTTATCGCTGTAAACGTATTGAAAAATATCTTTTCCCGTATTCCTTCCAGCTCCATAATCGCTATGGGGATCGATTCCACCGATTACCAAAACCGTTTCACGATTTTTTTGAAAAAGAGAATGCTTCACCAGAATGCTCTGTACTGTCCGCAATGTATGAGTATTCTCATTGAGTACAGTCCTGTAAGTAATAAATAAAAAACACGTGATCTATTCGATACAAAAAAAGACAGAAAGAAATTATTTATCCAACTTTTGTATAATCATTACCATTATAGTAGCTTGAAAATTTGCACATCAAAATAAGAGGTATATTGAGAAGTGATCGTAATTATCTCATTACAATGCGTCTACAAATCAAATCATATATTAGAATTTTTGAGTTGAAAGTCTGAGTTTTAAATCGGAATTTTAGAATGCAGAATAAGAAATTTGAGATAGGTAGTAGTTATAATTTCCGAGTTCCACCTCGAAAAAGAAAAACAAATCAAATTAAGTGTGCACCGCTCAATTTCGTTACACCTGTGAGCATAGGCTTTCACAGCTGGTGTCACTATTAGAGAGAACAAAATCCAGGCCGAATAGAATTTGTAGTACCAAAAGTTGTGTCTGCTACTGCGACAGACATCTTCAGTGGGAGGATATAACCTTCGCCCTTGCAATCAACGCATATACCACTGATGATGTCTCTCGCAGCAGTAGAACAAACGTTGGGTACTACAAGTTCCATTCGATCACGGCTTACCAGCCCGAATTATTGTGAGGAAGTTTGAAAACAGTACTTTTTCAGATCTGTGGATAAGAAGAAGAAAAACAGTGGAATGAGTCGCTACTTGATCTAAAACCATAAGAATGTTCATGAGGTTATATCAAAGTCAAAGTCAAAATATGCTTTACTGTTTGAAGATTAACATCTTATTAACAAAGCTTGGTTAAAATAATTCGAGAAATAAATTCACACATAGTAGCTATCGCTATACTTGTCAAGTTATAGTTATTCGAGTAATGTTCTCGAAAACTATACACTATAAAATAGTATACATTGGCAGGTAGTTGTTGAATGAAATTTCAGGTAGTTATTGAACATATGTACAAAGAACAAAAAAATAACGAAAACAATTAGTATTTAATAAAAATAGATATTACAGTGAGAATTTTCTTTTCCTTAAACAGTGGTCTGCAAGAATCTCGTGGTTTTGCTTTACACAGAAAACGTTCAGCTCTTTTCTGTATAATTAAAATTGATTGCAGTTTTGTCACAGTATATTGTTATATAGACTGTACAATAATGAGTGTTTTTTCTACTCTGGAATCCAAACTGACATTTGTTTAATATCTGGTTTCTCTCGAGAAAATCAAGTAGTCTTCTCTTGACTGATTTTTCTATAATCTTTGCAAGTGTTGTTATTAAAGAGATAGGTCGGAAGTTAGAAGAGATGCCAATATCTCCACCTTTATGGAGAGGAATAACAATAGACGTTATGAGAAAATTTGGAAAAACTCCTTCTTTATATGAGATATTTATTATGTCAACTAGTACTGATAAAGCATTGTCTGGTAGATTTCGTCAATTTCTGAAGTGTGTATATAATTCACAGTCTACTAACAATATTGAATAACAACACCTACCTAGTAGCTGAATAAATACGTTATTCCATTTGATTATTTTTGTTTGGTCTATTCTCCATGTATTCTTTCGTTAAAATTATAGTGAAGTATAGATAACCTTCTCTTTAAGTGTTTAAAATACTATTTGTCCTGTTGTCGCTGTTTGAAATTAAAAAACAAATAGGATGTTTCCTTCACAAAACCCACTGATGAAATCTCTACTTGCAAGTAGGTCACACTGTATATTGAATTATTATTTGAAAAAACTGTTAGTAAAAAGTCGATATTTTGAGAATTTTTACTAATATTGTTTATTCAGGAAACAATGAATTTAATAGACCCACTGTATATTCTATTAAATTTTCTATGTGGAAATGATTTGAACAGTTAAGGCATTCAAGAAAATGGTGCAAACAAATTTCTTGAAAAATAAACTCACATTATTTGTGGTTGAACTATTCTGTTCTTGGAGAACATACCCAGTACTTTTTCTCTTTTGGATTTTTTGTCACAATCATTTTTCTTCATTTTCTTGTAAGCTTCCGAAGTTAGTAGTTTTGAAATCTGTCTTTGCCTGAATCTTCTGTAAGCTTTTTGTATTACTGTCGCAGCCTCTGGTCGTGTCATCCACTTCTTTGGTTTTCTCTGATAAGTAGGAAAATATTGTGTTTTCTGGCAGCACTGATCTTGCGAAGTCGAAGTAGTGTCTCCAGATTCCTATGAAATTATTGTTTCAAAGACAACTTTCAAGCAGAATATAAGTAGAAGAGAATAGGAGACCGAAGAAATTGATGTATAAATATTTTCAGAAAGGAAGCTGAAGAGTTCATAACAATCATGCAACTATTCATTAATGTTTTTCTGAGGCACCACTTTCCACAAATGTGTTCAAAAAAGTCAACAAAAGGTAAGTTTTCTGCACTGTAAGGGCATCTCAATTTATATTAGTAATCAAAGATTTATTGATGACAGCAGTCAATGGAAATGATGCTAATAATTCAACATCAGAAGTGGGATAAGAGGAAACTCTTCCCTGATATTTAAATTGACGGAATTGATGTTTTCAGTAAACAATGCATTGTTTTACCTTTTGCTGCTTTATTTGTTGATGCACTTACGTGCGATCCTTACCGATTGTTGAAGCTGTCTTTGAAGCAATTCACCTACCTAGTAAAATAATTGAATTAATATTAATGTACTTCTGAGGTATCTTGACTCACCCTTTCCTCTATGTCGTTCATCTTTGGATTTATTCGAAACAGATGAGTGGCCATACAACTACATACTTCTTCAAATTCTCGTATATAATTTTGAGAATTCAATCATTAGACAATCAACTTGGAATGTATGGCCACTTACAACTTGATTCTTGACAATATTAGTATGACATTCAAGAAAAGGTAAACCGAGTTCAGAGGAACACTCGGGATAATTTATACAAATTATCACATACAATTCGGCCCTTCACTATGTGGTTGGCAGAATCAAAAGATCATTGAACAACAAAGAACCTACCCTGGGTATATTCATGGATATTAAGGGAGCTTTCGATAAAACAATCTTTCCAACAATTACCCAGCAACTAAATCCAAGGAATCTACCTTTGATAGCAGAAGAATGGATACTCAAGATGTTGTCTAGTAGAGCAATAAGTGTCAATGTAGAAGACATCACAGTGAAAGGATTGGTCATGAAGCGATGTTCACCGGAAGGGGTCTTAACACCCCTTCTTTATAAGGTAGTTCTGGATATCCTGACTAATCACCTCAACAATAATGGATTGTACACAATAACATATGCAGATGACAGTTATTTTGCAGACCGGCAAATTAGTGAACACACTGTGCGATAGAGCGTAGGATGGGCTCAAATTAATAGAACCATGGTGTAAGGAACAGTCACTGTCTATCAATCCCAAGAAAACTGAGATGGTATTTTTTACCAAGAAAAGGAGTTTATCGGGCTTACGAAATCTGGCAAACCAAACTTCTCTGAAGAGGTGGAATGCCGTGGTACTACCCTCGACAGGAAGCTAACATGGAACTCTCACCTACAGAGTAGAGCAAAAAGAGCATATGTGGCTTATGAGCAATGTCGGAGGTCGCTGTGTGGTCACCTGGATCTACACTGCAATAATGTTAACCTATGTTAACGTACGGAGCCATTGCATGGAGACCAAAAGTTCTACAAGCAACGGCCATCCACAAATTATATCAAATACATCGATTGGCTTGTTTAAATATCACAGGAGGCATGAGAATAACACCAACCGCGGCAATGGAATTATTACTGGTCTGACCCCTCTGGACCTGTACGTTAAGGAGGTTGCGTTATTGGTCATGCACGGCTGGTGTAAACCTCGAAGTAGGAATGGGTCAATTGAGGCTGAGCCTATGGCGAGAAGCGCTTACTGTGTAAGTTCTGCTACAGGTAGCCAGTGATGTAATTGAACCCATGTTTGTGTTTAATAAACCCTACAAAATACAAATAAAACAGAACACAGAGTCAAATGCTACAAATGCAATACGCAGATATACAGACGGCTCAAAAACCAAAGGAGGCTCAGGATAAGGAGTTTACTCCAGATTATTAAGCCTAAGGATTAAGTGGGGAATGGGAAAAAATACTAGCGTGGTTCAAACAGAAGTGGCTGGTATCTCAATCGCCACGAAATAAATAAAAATGAAAGGAATTTCTGGCAAAAATATAACAATCTGCCTTGAACAGACAAGGTGTTACCTCAGGGCTGGTAACATAATTCCACCAAGAGTTAGCCAAAGCCTTGAATGATAACGACAGGGCTAAAGGTAATCGTATTGCCGACTCTTCAGCCAAGGAAGCGGCTGGTCTAAGAATTTTAGGACCTAGTGAAACCTACGCCCTGATGACTTCGACAATTGCGGAACTAGCCAAAGGTTACACCCATGCTCAATCCCTTAAGAGATGGGATGGAAGCAAAGGATGCAGTCTTGCCAGGATCATCTTCGGCGACCATGGGAAGCTGGCGTCCAAGATGATCCTGTCCGAAGTTATCGTCAATAAGAGAGTATGTGTTCGGCGAGTCTTGGCCTACACCTGCCGATATAAAGGAGATGACTCCTAGTAACCTGTCCACCTTCTAGGATGGACGATGACCTAGGAGGACAACTCCTCGGAAGGATATACATTGGGTCACATGTGGCCTAAGTGCTGTGGGCCTACACTCACCCTCCCTACTCTGTAGAGTAAGGAGGGTGGGTAAAGGCATAAGTAAAGGCAGAAAATTAGACAGCTTCACGATTTACAAGTTTATGACTAGGTATACTATTTATGAAGTTATTAGTTCGTGTCCAATTTTGGATGATTGTTGTCGAAATAATAACTAATTTATGACCCAAAAATACATATGCTTATGTTCTTGTACCGGTTGTCTGAAAAGTTTGAGTAGGGGCAAATATCTTCGAAGTTAGTGACAGTGCAAAAACGAAATTTTGACAGGCAGATATGTACAAAAAAATCTACTTTTTTACGTATTCAAACTTGTAGGGGAGGCACAGGGGGTCTCGAGTGAAACCCTATTGTCATGTAGTTCGGTTTAACGGACATTTACGCCCAAACTAGAGTTTTCTACAGTAATCCGTTTTTTATCATTAGGGAAGATTAATAATGAATATAAGGCGTGGAAAAGAGTTTTATTTCATTTCATAAGAGTGCAGAATGATTACTACTAACTTCTTGACAATAAAATACTCTACTTCCAAATTCCACCCTTCATTCGTCAGAATTTCAGATGTTATAGTAGTGCACATATCTGATTCGTTGTCGTAATTCTTGCGAGTTTACTGGTCTGTTTGAAAATACCCGCTCCTTCCAATAACCCCACAGGAAGCCAATGGAAGCGAGGTCAGGAGACCTTGGTGGCTATTTAATATGCCTACTACACCCAATTCAACGACCAGTAAATTCCTCATCTACGAATTTCTTTACAGGAACATGAAATCATCCTGCTAAAAAATTGAATCTTGGACGAAAGCATTATTTACAGTTACAGCAGCTACAATACCAGGTGTGATAGCTTCTTCTGAAAGTTTTTTTTCATTTTTTCTTATTTATTGGTTACATATACAATACATGGGCTACATATAGTCAATTCACATTTGGAATTGATAATTTGAAAATAGTGTATTTTAAGAAAACTAAAATATATTATTGAATGAAAGTATCTAATTAGCTGGTATAAAATCTTTAGATACTAAAAAATATATCCGACAACAGAAAAGTTTTGAGATATTTTTTGAATTAGAAGTCAGTAGTTTTCTTTTTACTTGATTCCGGGAGCTTATTGTAAGTCCTCACTCCCTTAGAATTACATTCAAATTCTTTCGATGTGTTTTTATATGGTGGGTAAATCTCGTTGATTCTGTGTGATCATTACTATGAATGCTTATGCTTTTTTTATTTTTAAATATGTAACAAGATATTCCTAGAATATACAGGCAAGAGAAAAGAAATATTTTCAGATTGGCAAATAATGATCTACATGATTCTCTCCGACATTTATTTGAATATGTTCTAATGCATTTTTTCTATAGTACAAACAATTTCTGAGCTGCTGATGCTGGCAGTCGTGAGTGAATTTCAGCTTGATAAAAAATTGCAAGTTTTAGCGTCTGGTAAGGTACATGTCGATAAAAATTTACCAATTACCGTATCACCTATAATTCCTTTCCATACGTTTATTTTCTCAGGATATTATTTATGGTGTTTCTCAATCCATTCAATGCCTTCAGTTTTGGCAGTTGTGTTCAATAATAGAACCATTAGTGAAACATATTCGATAGAGGTAGTTGGATTGTGTGGAAATTAAACGTTCCATTGTTTTACAATAGTGAAACCTCCGATCTGGATCATATTCATTTAGTTTCTGTGGAAGATTTATTTTGAAGAAATGAAATTTATGCTGTTTCGAAATTTCAAGCCTGTACTTAGAGCGGCAGCTATTGTTCGAACTGATCGCTTGGGTTGAACAGCAATGGAACCCAAAACTTGAATTTGCAGGTCCTTGGCGAACAGATCTTGGAGCGTCTGTTACGCCAAACATTCGTAACTAGGAGAAACTTTTATCTGGGAAAACTTCATTAAACATTAAACATCAAACAATCTTGCGATAACTTCGATTAGCTTGCCCATAAAATAAAATTGTTTGAGCGAGCCATATCGAAATGATTAAAATCAGAAAATTTACCAATGCCTTTCTAATGTCAATGTCAAATAAAACTGAATCAACAGGTACGGCTAGAAATAAAATTCGCAAAAGGTGACAAAAGGCCTTCAAAATGAGCTACATATCGATGTAGGGATCCATTTAGGATTTTGGTTCCTGATGCCGCCCCTGCAAGAGCGAAAAAGTTACAAATGCGTAGAAAAGTAGATTTATTCTTCACATGTACTTGACAAAATTTTGTTTTCTATCTTCACCGACTGCGGAGGTATTAGCTCGTACTAGGACTTTTCGAACACCTGGTATTATTTATGTATATGTATGATGAATTCAAACAGAATATCAGACTGAAAATGACACTGAAACTCGAGATGAATTATGTATAAATAATATAATACCATCCATCCAGGCTTTAAATTTTATTTTCATTCTGAGAAATACTAATTTACAAGATACTACTGAAATTTTTATGTCAGTAAATGTTTTCTCCTTCTACTAAATTTCTTTACCGGAATTTAGGCATTCATTTTTATTTTCTCATTTTATTTCAATTCAATATTTTTAATCAAAAAAAACATCGTTCGTGATTCTTCGAAGATTCTGAAGATGAGTTATGTGCCATCATTTTGAAAGACATTGCTTTATATGATTGTGACGATCATTGAAACATTCGATAGTTGAAAGTATTTTTATGTCATACAAAAAATACATTTCAAATTGAAATCCTATTTTGAACAGGTAACTATAATTTAGCAAACACTATGGGTTTGATTTATCGTCCTTTTTATGTCCGTAAGGCATACTTACCTTTTTTTTAGATAAGAATTCTTCCATTGTCGGCACTCTTGGCGAGCTTTTCTCTACAGGCAGATGATTTCTTCTTGGTGGTTCCCTATATTCTGGTTTTTCGTTGGTGACTATTTTTGGCTTGTTCTTCTCTATCAACTGATTCCTTCTGTACTGGTCTAGATAGATGAGAAACTCCCTGTATGTGAAGTAAGTTTTATCGGATCCGCTCCAATTGCGTGGAGGCGGTTCTTGGAGGCCTAGTACAGCATTCCAATGTTGAAAGTCGTCGTTTTCTTGGCCATACCAATATTTGATGATAACGTATCTAAAGTAATGAAATAATGTTAGGTCAAATTTTAGCTCGAGGTTAAACGAAGTATCAGTTTGAAAATTTTCCACATATGATAGTTTCCTCGAAGGAAATAATATTCAAAATAGAGACGACATATCAAAATCATAAAGAGAACGGGTTCAAAGAATATTTCCAATCCTCGCAGTTCAATACTTTAATGGTGTATTGTTTCAGTTGATTTTTTCGAATGGAGGATTTCATTTCTCAACACCGGAAGCTATGTAGCTGGAAGCCTATTTTTCGAAAAATATTCTCGAAATGTCTGTTGAAAGAAATTTGTTCACTCATTTTGAACTATTTGTATAAAATTTGTAATTCCGTTTCACTTGTGGTACTGTTCAGTAACAACTGCTTTTAAAATGGAGAAGTTCAACTACGTAAGAAGGGTGTTTTTTTAAAGAAATAAATACAAATGTTGATGTCACAGGCATGTTTTTCATTTTGGAGAAAGATTTTTCTGAACTGAATATTCGACAAATAAGTTTGAATGAGTGAAAAAATATAATTTTTTAACAATCAAGTATAAAATAGATAGTATAATATAGATAAAGTAGATATGAAATAACGTACGCTAATCCATCATCGATCATTTTGCAAATTCTCGGATCTTTAGCTAATTCCATGAAATCTGGGTTTTCTGGATTCCTTTTGATATCGACTAATTGCCAAGGAGCTATGTTACCAAATCTCACACATTCCAGGATTTCGTATTTATATACGTCTCTATTAATCCAGTCATGTTTTAGCCATCTAACAGCCGACATGAATATTTCCATTTCACTGAAAACAGAAATTGTATGCTGATAATAACGTCATGTATTTTATAACAAGTAATAGATCAGCCATCAAAAGCGATTTGAGGATTGACTTTCAGTTGAAGACAATGTTTGGAGAGTGAACTTGGATAGCAAAGAAATCACCAATTTTTCTGAAACCAGTAAAATATCCACGAGGTTGGTGGATGTTGTACTATTGTTGTACGACGAATTTTTTTACGTCGGAAGAAAACCAAATGAGAGAATAGAGTGAAGTTCCATATTTTTATCAAATGTATAATGGCAATGTTGAATGCATGTATTATTAAACGTAATTGCTTACTTATCAGCTGAACTTATACGTTTACTGTACATACGTACATTCGATTATCGATTTTTTAATTTCAACATGTTTAGTTTGTTGGTGAGAGGTGTAACAGTTAGAAGTATTTTGCGTGTTCGACGAAATTTTGTGTAAAAAATGAAATTAAGTGCTCAAAAATACTTGAAATGTTCACAGTGGCATAGAGTGCCACCGTATTCACCAAATTTGCCCCCTGCGACTTTTTCCTATTGCCAAGATTGAAGAGACCCATGATTGGACGGCGTTTTGAGACGATTGAGGAGATACAAACCGAATCGCTGAGAGAGCTTAAGAACGTACCAAAAAAGTGTATATGAAACTATTTCTCGAATTGGTAGAATAACGCTGGTACAAGTGCATTATATCTGAGGGAGACCACTTTGAAGGGAACAAAATAGAAATTTATGAAACGCCGTTTTTCTTTTTAGTGTCACAAATATTCATTCCTCAATTTATTCAACTAACATTTTATTGGTTGAATTTAATTGATTTATGCATTTGTTCGACACATTAAAAACGATTGTTCGCAAAATTTGTTCTATTTTAAATGACACTTGATTTTAAATGTTGCATGAATTAATTTTTTAATGAAAAGTTGCGAACAGTTATAATATAGATTCATTGTTTGAAATTTTTGGAAGTAAATGTTTGTAATATATTAAAAATCTAATACC